TTTGCAATAGGTTTTCTTCTTTGTTCTCATTAGTGAGTGGCAGTAAAAAATGGTGTGAATTCCTCAGTTTAAACTGATTAGGATATTCTTAATTAGTGTCTCATCAATTGGTGTTATTTTATTTAAGCACTTAAATAATTCATCATGATATTGCTTATGTAAATATTTCCTTTTTTGGGGCAATAATCTTATCTAAATATGAATTGTATTCATGTTGGAGACATCCTGAATTAAGACTTAGTCTATATAATGGTCTCCAGAGGGGTATGCTCACCACAGGGGATGCACAAGGTAATTCATTAGGGTGCATAAAAGTAGTGGACCTTCTCGATATATTATTATAAATTATGCCTTAAGATTTTTTTATATTTGTGATTTTCCCCCTAATTTTTAGATTACTAAAAAGTGGAAACAGTCTATAAATAAATACACATATATGGTTTTGTCATATCTGCACATTTGACTGTTGGAATTAATGATTTAAAAAATGAAAGATTGCTAATTATAACAAAATACCATAATGTAACATATAACAAATTTCCCTTGATTTTTAATTACATGAGATGCTTGTTTTTCAAAAGTGCTATTGATACAATGTAATACAATTTAGCAATAAAAAAGGAATGAAGTACTGATACATGCTACAACATGGATGAACCTCAGAAACATTATGCTATGTGAATGAAGCCAGTCACAAAGGACCACATAGTGTATAATTCAATTTATGCAAAATGTCCAGACAAAGCAAATCTATAGAGATAGAAAATGGAAGAGCAGTTGCCTAGGGCTAAGTGTGGGATTGGGAGTGACTGCTAACGAGTATGAAATTTCTCACTTAAAGCCATTGAATTATACACTTTAAATGGTAAATTTTATAATATGTTAATTATGTCTCAATAAAAACATTTTAGTACTATTGAATGTTGCGGGAAAGACTGGAGAGGGAAAAATTTCCAACTGAAATTAGACAGAAATTATTGGTAGCATCCATAGAAAGAAGAGTTATGAAGAGAGACAAGAAGGAAAGAATAAAGAATAATCAAACTTTAAAAGTCCATACTGAACTCACAGGAAATTTAGGCAATACACTGGTGTTTTAAGGTGAACTATTAGGAAACACCAAAACATGTATTCTATTTGGTTAGTAACATTTGTGCTTAGCAGCCAAATATTATGGAACCGGAATTTATAACACATGGGCACATATTTATGCATAAAAATACATATTCACGTATATAAACACATACATAATGAGTTGAAGCAAATTGAAATAAGAAGAAATACCTTTGGTGATCTTCAAATTGGCTTAGGAGTTTCCTTCAGCCTTTCACCCACTTAGACGCCTGCTGGCCTCCTCACTCATTCCTCGCTGTGCCTGTAGAAACCTGCTCTTAGGAAAGTCAGACCGTGGTTCCCATTACCTATTCTTACGTGTGGTGCACCCCAGGTGCTCAGGTATTTCACGTGTCTTTGGGTTGACAATTCCAGACACAGGCAGCACTCTGAGAGTTACAGTCCCTCCCATTTTCCCTTTGCTTTTATTTTCTATCATCCATGTCTACCCCCTGTCTTGTTACTAACAGATGGAATCCCAGACCACTAATGTCTTTAATCCCCTTTCTCTCTCCTATCCACATTTACGTACCTTCTGTTCTGGTGATTCTCAAATTCTGCTCATCACAGAGGCTGAAGAAACACATGCCTCAGATGGACATTACTCTCTACAAAACTATTCCTGAAAAGAAAAAAAAAAGCCCAAAACAATGGCTCTCAAAGGGACAACCTTTTGTTCTAGTAAGATATGGCAAAGAAGTATTGTCAGTGTAGGCTAAGATAGAGACCTGGATGCTTTCATGTCTAACCTTCCTTGTTACTTACATTGATATAAAGACACATCCAGTACTAAAGTTGCACAGGTAGAGAGGGTGCCTGTATCCCTCCCCTTTCTCAGAGTGCAGACACACAGCATCTGTTTTGTTAGTAATATTTGTTCTATTTGGCAACACTGAGCATGTCTAGATTCCAACCACTACCAGCTCCTAAAGCCAGGTGTTTGGGGACCTGCCTCCCCGCATCTCATTCTTTCATCTCTCCCTATTCATTGCCTCTTGCTTTTTTAATTTTTCATATTTTCCCATTCTCTTTCTGCTAATTCTATTTTCAGACATTTTCTCAATTATTCTTTTTACTTTTTTTTCACAAGCCAGTGAATTTCAAATATGTGCAACTGATGTAAGGCTAAGTATCTGGCTTTTTTTCTTTTTAATTAAATTCGTTGGGGGGTGACAATGATTAGTAAAATTATATAGGTTTCAAGTGTACATTTCTATAATACATCATCTATATGTCACCTTGTGTGTTCTTTTGATTTAGCTTCTTTTATTTTTTACTTTGATTCCAGTTTCCCTCCCTTATTATATCTTTTGCTTTTCCTTCCTCATTACTCTCTTCCTTATCATTCCCTTCTTTCTCTCATTTGCCCACATTCTTTTAGTCTTAAATATTTTTCAACTTTGTTCTCTACATATATTCTACTTCATTATGTTCAATGCCTGTCTTTCTATGAATTCTGAGACAATAAACTGTTTTTCTCATTCCATGGTGGAGCGAACACTGTAGATTTTTCCTAAGTGTTCCATTCCAATGAAATTATCTACAGATAGAAAATGCTTACCTTCAGTGCTAAGCCTTCCTTCTGAATATTATCCTTTTTGAAATTTGCTCAATCTCAATCACACATTAGTTATTTCATATTCTCTCACATGTATTGTCTCTTTATAACTCATTCTGATAAAATGAAGTGACTTATCTTTCAGCTTTAAAATAAATCTCCTTAATACCACCCCTGCCAACATGAATATAGTTCATGAAAGTCTGAAAAGGACAGTGTGGTTTCTGGTACTATATTCATTCTATTTTTAAGTTATTAAGTATACTGTTACATGGTTCTCAAAATTTTGAAAAATGTAGGGCCTGCCGAATGTCTCAGTTGATTAAGAGCTTGCTCAAGAGTGCAAGCTCTGTGCAACAGCAGTTTGATGCCTGAGCTGAGCTGCTGCTGAGCTGCCAACAGGTGGCAGGATGGCTCAACTAAACAAAAAAAACGAAAAACAATTTTTTGAAAAATGTGTATAAAGATGAAGAACATAAAAATATTTGATTTATACTAAAATTGAGGATTATATAAAACTTCATTCAAGCACAGATCTTCGTCCAATTGCTTATCAAATAAATGGGACAGTTAAATTATATGATGGAAACCTCTATTTTCCTTTAGCATTCTAAGGTTTTAGACAATGTCATGAATGTTATAGAAAGAGCCCTGGTTTGGGAATTAGTCATCTTATTTAAGTTACTATTTCTGCAATTCAGTAACTATAACCTTAAGCAAGTCATTTAGTCTTTTAAAATATGACTTTTTTCATCTATAAAGGAGAAATAATATATCCTCTATTTCTACTCTACAGGTTGATATAAAGTTCAAATGAGATTATTAGTAGTCAATTCATATCTACTTAAACTGAACTAAGATACAGTCAATGATTGGACAAATTCTAATAAAAATGATAAATTGACACTGTGTCAGTATATCCTTTGTCATTGCCCTGGAAGTAATCCCAGAGAAGATGGTGACCATTACATCTGAGTCATTTCAGGGTGAAAACGCATGGAGGTACAAGGAAGGGCCCATGTAAATTTTTCTGATTTAATGGTTTGTGAAGTAAGTCTTTCTTGTTTTAAGATCCCTAACTCTGAGTCTTATATTGGTGTATGCTAGGACCATATGCAAGAGAAGAAACTCATGCCAGCTGAGTATGGGAACCAAGAGATTTGCAATATTGTGAAGTCAGTGAAGTTTGTCTCTGAGACCCAGCCTACCCTTTTCGACTTGTGATTTCTGATTTCCTC